AATGAGTTCTTTAAATATAATATCAAGATAATGTAAATTTTGTTTAAAGAGATATATAGTAAAAAACATAATGTTTACTAATTTTGTAAATAAGTTCTTTTTACTAGTTTATAGATAAATTAAGATAATATATTCTATTTAATTTAAGTGATTACATTACTAATATTTATACAATAAATTAAGAGAACTACTATTCGCACCATAGATTTTTGCTATTCGCACCAGAATTAGTTAAAGTTAGGGTAAGTAGATTTTCATAGTGTTAGTTACCATGGTGCGAATAGCAAAAATCCATGGTGCGAATAGTAATTCTCTAAATTAATACGTATAATATACGAATTACATGATTGTATAAAATTGCAATTAATTAATTGAGTTTGAAAAATTGCCCCACAATCAATTATTCGGTAGGCTTGGTGTCATCTGGCAATTTATGATCATGATAAGTAGGGAGTCATCGACTGAGTTTTAATTTGAATAAAACATGATTACATCGTAAAACGTGAAAAAATAACGTAAATCTGCATCAAAAAGATAACCTAAAAACCGGAAGTTTTATTCTTAGGTTACCCTGTCTTTATATTGAACAATTTTTTTTAATACGTATAAACACTATTAAGCCATGATGCACAACACCTCGGCCTGCATTAAAGTAATTTTGGCCGATGATCTTCAGATTTATTAATTTTGGCGGGAAATTAATTTTTTGTTACCAAAAAGGAAATTCTTTACGTAGCAACTGTCTTCGTTAATGTTAGTAGGATTTTGTATAATTGACATGTTTTGTGCGGAGCTCGAGTTAGATCCCAATCCCATCATTAATGCTGTGTCTATAATTCATGTTAATGTTACATATGCGGTGTAATCGACTCTCGTTTTCATAAAACTTTGGTATATAATTTATATAATTGGAGATAAAAAGTTTCTACGCAAACTATTGAAGCTTCTTAAATATAAATGGGATATTCATTACAGCTATTATTCGATGTTAGTTCAATTATTTACAAACCAAAAGTCCATTACATTGAAACTATTAGTGATTAATTGTTTTGTGGTATTTTATTTACTAATTCCAACAATAAAGCCGAAAAGATAGTTATGTCTAAATCTTCTATTAAAAAGACTTCAAAAATTCGGTCAAGATTTCACGTAATTTTTTGTCAGTGGCTTCGGAGATTACTCCTTCCTTGTTGATTGTATCTAATACGTCGGGATGATTTGACACCAGATGTGGAATGAACATAGCTTCAAATTCTGTCACCCGTTTACTTTCTATCTTGTCTAAAAATCCGTGAACACCTGCAAATACTAACGGTACTTGGTGTTCTGTAGGAAGGGGTTTATATTGAGGTTGCTGTAAAAAGAATGTAATATTATATATATATCAACAACACAATCAAGATCTGTTTTCAGTTAAAATAAAAAATTGACTGATAATAAACCTTTAAAAGTTCAGTCAGCCGTTCGCCGCGGTTCAGTAAGAAGCGTGTTGAGGCATCTAAATCAGAACCGAATTGTGCAAACTAGAAATAAAGATGAGATATTATTACATTTAGGCGCCAGCAATAAACAAACAAATCGTTACACGCTGTCATCCACTTAATGTTTCATGTATTACGACCTTTCTTTAAGAGGAGAAAGCACATGAAAAGTATATGGATGGGAGTGGGTAGGAGATAAAAGAATTAACATACAGCCGCGACTTCACGATATTGAGCTAAATAAAGTTTGAGAGACCCAGCAACTTGTTTCATAGCTTTTGTTTGGGCAGCACTGCCTACACGGCTTACCTAATTTGTTATAAAATTAAATTTCGGTTAGTAGGATATAAAAAAGCGTATGATGATTTGCATATGAAAAGTACTTACAGATATACCAACATTGATAGCAGGTCGCACGCTTAAAAATTGTTTATTGAAATTTAAGAAATATGTATTATTTAATGGTATGCATCAAAATTTTCTTTATACATACCCTTTGAAGAACAGTTCAGCTTCCAAGAAAATTTGTCCGTCCGTGATGGAAATAACATTGGTAGGAATATAGGCAGATACATCACCACCCTGTGTTTCGATGATTGGTAATGCGGTCATAGATCCGGCGCCAAAGTCCTGATTCAATTTGGCGGCACGTTCGAGTAATCGGGAGTGAAGGTAGAATACATCACCAGGATAAGCCTCACGACCCGGAGGACGACGAAGCAGTAAGGACATTTGACGGTAAGCAACGGCTTGCTTAGACAAATCATCATAAATAATCAATGAATGTTTGCCATTATCTCTGAACCATTCACCAATGGCGCATCCAGAGAACGGAGCCAAATATTGAAGAGGCGCTGCTTCAGAAGCAGTAGCAGCAACAATAATAGAATACTTCAATGCATCTACAAGAATATCATCCTTTAATATGTTAGAATGAATAGATAAAAGATAAAAAAGATAAACCTTCTATTAATTAAGACGAATTGTAACAATTTACCGTTTTCTTCAAGAGTTTTAACCAATTGAGCTACCGTCGAACGTTTTTGGCCAATGGCGACATATACACAGTATAGTTTCTTACTTTCATCATTACCGTCATTCCACTTTTTTTGGTTTAAAATAGTATCAAGTGCAACTGCAGTTTTACCAGTCTGTCGGTCACCAATAATTAATTCACGTTGACCACGACCAATTGGCACCATAGCATCAACTGATTTAATACCAGTCTGCATAGGTTCGTGAACAGAACGACGAGGTAAGATACCAGGAGCTTTCAATTGAACACGTCGTCGTTCTTCTGATTTGATTGGTCCCTTGCCATCAATGGGATTACCAAGAGCATCAACGACACGACCTAGTAGGCCGGGTCCAACCGGCACATCCACAATTTGCCCTGTGCGCTTTACAGTGTCACCTTCTTTGATTAATCTGTCGTTACCGAATACGACAATACCTACATTGTCGGGTTCTAAGTTGAGAGCCATACCCTGCACGATTCGGTGAATCATTTATGAGACGATTAAACTTTCGTGGTTATAGAGAATGCATATTGAATATCACATATGTATCCACCAATTTTTTTACAGAATTGAGCCACAACAACCCAAATTTACTAATAGTGATTGACATATATTTGTAAATTATTACAACTCTAACTAATAATATTGCCTTAAAGATATTACTCTAGAACAAAAAAAGCATTTAGAACACATCAGAACTTGGATATGCTTTAGTAAATTTGGGTATCTTAATTACGATCCAATTCTGCGAATAGGTGGATATTTAATAGCATGCCTTGAGACCACTAGAGAATTCCACCATTTCTTCGGCTTGAACATTTTTGAGACCATAAACACGGGCGATACCGTCCCCGATTGACAGGACACGTCCAGTCTCGTGGACTTCAACGTTGGCAGTAACACCAAGGATGCGTTGTTCCAGAATAGAGGAAACTTCAGATGTGGCTTATTATTAACATAGAATAAATAGGTTTATATCAATCCATTTGTTATTTTCTAATTAAGATCATTGCATTACGTTAATCGACTGATCCTTCTTTTGTGATATTATTTATTCTGCCAAACCATGCGTATTCGTGTGTTTTGATACATACCGGGCTTAGCAGCTGCATACCTTCGAACGGCAAAATTTAATACAACATTGTTGGCACGAATCTATGATGATTATTCAACCTTGTTAGTGCAAAATGGTTTGGATTATATCTTATGAACTCGATTCAACTTTCTTAGCATATAATCATTGTTAACATCTTAAGTTATCCTAAATGTAGTTTACATATAAAATGCCCATCATCTTAATTGATATCGATAATTACGAAACCTTTTCTATTCATATATAATGGCCTGCCGATAACTATTCGGTTTACCCATTTTTTTTAACTTTTCTAAAAACTCTTCAAACAAGTAAGGCAAAACTTTAATATCCGCTTAAAAACACATACAACAGGCACCGCCCTTCGTGCTAATGTAGTAGCCAAAGGTAAAGAAGCACGCGCAACATTCTTTAGCATTGTTACTTTTTAAGTTGGTCCCGAATCGTTAAAAAGATGAATTGCGAAGAATAAAAAAAAAAAAATTATCGATGGCTGTATCACATTAGATTTTTGATTATGGTTGGTTAAGATTGCTTTAGCTAGTAGTATATAGGCTAACTTTCTCGTGATTGGTCAATTTTATTTACCCCCTAATATTTTTTTTTTTTAATGTTACTGCCGATCATAATACTACAGAAAACTCTTGCTTTAAGCATCTCTCTACTTGGGTATACTTTCACTTAGGGACAGTTCTTAAGAAGGAAAATAGTAATGAATAATAAATACCGTAAAGGGTCATATACAAAACCTGGATCTCTTACATTCCACCAATTTTAAAACTTATAATTAACCCTGGGTCTAGTATATAGCTGAGAAATCAGGTTTGATTAATGTAGATTCCGTAATTTGCGCCCGGGTCTAATTTGTTGGAAATCTGATATATTACCCTTTACGGTATATATGTTAAAGTTTCTAATTAACTCACAAAAACGTACGTAGCTAACTTGTTTAAGAAAATAAATATATTACAACATTCGAAGCTTTACTTAATATGAAGAAACATGTAGAGATCTTTGAATTAAATAAGTTCAGATGAGGTTTTTTTTATAAAAAACACATTTATTTTTTGAAGTAATAAGTAGGTCCTACTTTATTCATTTGTGGTCTACATTTAAGATAGCTTTATTATATGTATTATATATGAGATCATAATTCTACGTACTATTTGACGTTTAACCAACAACGAAGATGTGTGTTACACCTAATCCTGTAGATCTGAAGGTCCTTCAGAATTTTGAACCTGCAAATGTCTAGCATAATAATATATAGAATTTATTTATACATATGTATAACCACGTATTTTGCTTTTTATATCACTTCTATCGGAATAACGGGTTAGGCGTACTTGTAGACGAAATAACAGTCTCTTTATTGCATTTTCCATCCCTAGAATGTTATTAGTTAAGCTATTTAGCTCCTTGTTCAATTTTAAGACAATCCTCAACTGACATTATCTTTTCGACCGTTACCGCGTATGTTATCTATTATACTATTTATTTTATCCACGATCACTGAACAGGAAGAGTACCAGTATAAGGAATTGCTACTTCATTGTATTCTCTATTCACTTCACCTTCTGCGATTTCTATTTGATTATTACACATATTATCTAATCAGTCGCACGATTTGTCACATCACGATTTTTATCATATGATTTTCATAAATTACACAAATCGACAAATTCACACTTTTGAAATTTTTTTTAAACCTGTAGTTAAAATATGTAAAATACTTCTAAAAAAGTTTATTACTGAAGTTTTTACGAATCGAATGCTATAAAAAATACAACGTATAAATTTCTCTACATAGAATATAATGCCTTCGAAAGTAGGTAATTATTTTATATACTTTTGGAAGATTCTTTTCAAGCTTGCAACTTTTTAACAGAATTAATGATTCATTAGATGCGCCAACGTTAGATCTTTCGACAAAATGCATGTTCGAAAGGTCAGTAAATTATAAACTTTACTGCGAAATTTAAGAAAAACAGTTTTATAGTAAGTAGATCGCTTAATATTACATATAAAAAGTTCTTTTGAAGCAATTTCGGTACTACGTTTTTTTATTTATTTAGGTTTAGAGTTGTAATTGCAACAATGATAATACAATTGGTTCAAAGATAAGTATAGTAATAGAAGATTTTGTATTTTAGATAAATATAGTATATAATAAAGTATATATCTTTTTTTTTAGATGAAATCTGGGCTGTGAAACAAAAAAGATTTATTACACTATTTATTCGTCTTCATCTTGAGTATCGTTATCATTTTGAGCATTATCTTTACTTTGAGTATCATCCTCATTTTGAGTATTTTTTCATTTCTTTTTTTGTTGCTTTAAAGTCATTATAGAATCCTTAATCAAGTTTTTAATTCCTCTTCTCTTTGATTTTTTTTTTTTAGTCAAGTAAACTTCTTCTGCAAGAAGGTTTTGCATACATTCTATTCCATGTTGATAACAAGTTTCCATATTGAAGAATCCTTTTGTAATATTTTGGGTTGTGTAATCAAAAAGAGAATGACTATTGGGATCTGGATTTTGAAATGCATTATATATCTGTTTACTTAAAGTCCATGTTTGTTTAAGTCAATTTGATACAACACAATCATCAATATCTATTACTTAGTTAACAAATTTATCAAGAACTGATAGTTGTTTAATTTTATCTTGGTTTTCTTGTATTTGTTAGTGTAAGTTTTTCTCATTTTCAGATTTTTTTGTCATCATCTCTTTAACAGATTTAACATCATATGTTTTTAAAGTTTCATCATATGTTAGATAATGTTCTTTACATATAATATTAATAGATAGTACTTGATATAGTCGTTTTTGAAGTTGTGTTTTTATGTAATTTTTCTAAAAAATTAATGACTGATTTTGTATATTTAAATTTGTCAGTAACTGGAAAAAATGATGCAAATGCAGTAAGATATGCAATTTGTAAATTGAAATTTTCTCTTCGAATTTCAATTTTGTATGCTTTCTAATAACCTGTCTATCGATAATAATTTAATCAAACTTTTAAAATATTATTAGACCTATTTTTAATGTTATCAATAGTTTTATTCGTATCTTGTAGATGACGGTAAATTGCAATTTTGATTGTTGCCCAGATTAGCTTAAGAACTGTATATGTTGCATGATAATCCAAACCTTTCTTTAAATTTTCTAAATATTGAACACCAAGTTGCAATGTTATATTAAAAATTCCATAATCAAAAAAGGCTGCAAGTAAGGTTTAGTACATGTTTTTTGAAATATGCCACTGTTCAAGAATAATATTAGTAGTAAGATCTTTATTTTCATAATTTTTAAGTCTTCAAAAAATAGTTTCATCACATGCAATATCAATTATATTAACTCCTGTATTTGTTACATCATTTAAAAACATATTACATGTCTCATATGCATTTTTATTAGAATTTGGTACCAGACTAGATTTTAGAATTACTATCTTTAGTTTATCAAATTTGCATCCTATTTTAACAGTTTCAATAACCTTTTGATGAATATCACTAATATCAAATTTATTTTTCTTTTCCAAAAACAGTTCTTCAAAAATTTGATCATAATTTTTATTTAGATTATCTGTAATCATTGATAACCCAATCATAATTTGGTTTGATTGTTCAGAAAAAAGACTGAAGAATTATTAGGCAAATTTAAAGGAAGTTTAAACTGGAATGTAATTTGTAGAGTAGTATGTGCAGTTTGTTATGCAGTATCATAAATATTTTCATATGTGAATGTTTTTTCTTTTATATCAATATTATTAATAACTAATAAATTATAGATATTACTTGTAGTTTCAAGTTTGTTAGCAGGATTAGCATTTTCCATGTACCATCTTTCTGTACTAATTTCATGATCCCAAACATAAGAAATTATATATGCAGAATGAAGAATTTTATAAAGCTTTGAAATCATATTTAGGCATTTACAAAATGAGCCCAAAACATGAGATAACCAAATTTTCTAACAACAAAAAGAAATTCCCATCACAATTGATACTAAAAATATTGTGTTTCTTTTAATTGATATTAAATTTAATGGAATTGATAGTGATCCACATGATTTTCTTTTTCTTTCAGCAATTTCATGTTTTTTTACAAAAAGAACTATAATAAGACTAATAAAAAAAGATCACAGAGTTTGAGACAATACCGAAGCATATTGTACAAGCGATTGAGAATTTTTTAATATTGGCAAATTATCTTTAAGCAAGATGCATGATTGCTATAAAGATTTTCTAAGAAGATATCTGAAATATGTATACTTATTTTCTTTTAAAAATGCTGTTTTTGTTTTAATACTTAAATCTATTTTTGCTAATCTAAATGTTATTCGAGTAATTAGTAGAGTCGGCATAACAAATCGTTCAGAAGGATCTGAATTTATTGGTTTATAAAGCAATTCTCATAGCAAATAAGGCTTTAACAACTCAACTGCTAGCAACAATGACCAGATAAGCTATTGTTTTTATATTATATTATCTGATTTTGCTACTAACTGAATCCAATTTCCAAATGTTTCTAAAACTCTAGTTAAGTCATCATGTTTCTCATTACAGTCTGTTTCTCTAGTTCCTTTATCATACCTTTTATGTAGATGACTACTATTTGCCTTACAACATTTTGAACAAATATATAAGAGTTGTATATTATTTGTTGACAAAACAGAAACTGAGTAACAAGTTTGTAATGCTTCACATGATCATAGTCCTGAACATGGAACTCTAATATTACATTCATATATTATCCACAAATGCTTAGAACAACCCTCATCATGTGTAAAGAAGCATTTATATTTATTACAAAATAAGCATCTCGCATAATAAAGAATACTATGGTCTATTCCTAGCATTTGAATTTTTTTTAAATATAGCTGATTTTGATCATAAAGAAAATGTCTATAACTGATACCAAGCTCATTTAATTTTCTATTATATTGCTCAGCGGTATTACAATTGATTTTTTAAGTACTCTTAAGTTGTACAAAAGGTCGGTTAGCATCAATTCCATTGCATCATTGTATTTTGTAATTATTATTATCATTATCTATAATGATACAAGGTGTGTATTTATTATCTTTATTTTCAAGAATATTTGGTATAATTTTATCAAATTCTTCATCTAACTTATTATGTAATATAATTTCTTTTATTTCATTATTAAGGTCATAGTCTTCATTATCATCACCATCTAGTTGTAATATTTTATTCTTAATATTTTAATATGTATTGTTATCAAAGTTTAGAATAGAAAAGTTTTCGATTTCATCTACAGATTCACTATCAGAATTATTATAATCAATGTTTTTCATCATTGTAACTGTAAAGTTTTATGAATTTAAATAATTGTATTTTTTATTTAAAAAAATTTAATTACAATAAAAAATTTTAACATGTGAGAAAAGACTTATTTATATTTATTGCTTAATTATTTATTGATAGAAAATACATTTTTTGCTTTAAATATCTAATAATATTATATGCACAAATTGTTTAATTTAAATCCCAAATTTTTAATAAGAAAAGTGCGATAAAAAGCTTTTGATACATCTAAAAAAACTTTCTATTTACATGTTCTCAGAAAAAGTTTATTACATAAATCTACTTATTATTTAAAAAATTCTTCTTTTCAACATATCATTTCCAACCTGTAAATAATTCATCATACCTTTTTTCCTACTATTGGTGCATCTATTAAATATTAGAAAATCTATTTATTACAAGTTGATAAAACACAATTCATCTCAATATGCTATTCTAATCTGTAAATAATTCACCATACTTTCTTTCTCACATCTGGAATCGCATCGTCTCTTCAATAATATGCCTCTTGAGAAATGTTTATTAAATATTAGAAATCAATATTTATTACAAGTTAATAAAACACAAATTCATCACATCATTAAAAAAATTCCCTTTTTCAGTATGCTATTCTAACTTGTAAATTCACTATGCCCTTCTTCCCACTATTAGTAAATCTGAAATCATATTATTGTCTTAATAGCATGCCCCTTGAGAATGTTTATGATTATACCACTAAATTAAAAAATTAATAATTGTTCTATGAGGTGCTAAAAAGGATATAGTGTGAATCTATCAATCATATTTCACAAAGATTTCTTCGGTTAGTATGATTTTAAGAAACAATAATAATACTTTTTAATTTTACCAATACGAGTTTTCTCCAAATTATTATTCCCAACTAAATAAATATTATAGCATAATGTAAACAAATTATATTAGTATGACCCAAAACAGAAAATATCTTTTTAATTAAACCCAATTTTTTAAAACTTATCTGGATCAAATCTGTGAACATTAATATCTTGCCCTGCACATATTTAACTTTTATTAATTAATTGTTATTATTTATAATTCTTATTTCTTGATTTAATGATTATCCCGCATCTTTGATATTCCTTATATATTTCTCTTATTATTCTTATACATCATTCTGATATTTACTCAGCCTGATCTAAGCATAGTTATCTCTCTTCAGTAATGGTAATAGTAACAGTAACACTAAGCACAATTCTTACTGTGAGTTAAAGCAATTTGGATCTTAATAATAAGCTGTAAAATTAAAAAAAATTCATTATATAAAATTACTATGATTCTTAAAAAACCATCATAATCTTTATATCATATAAACACAAAACTTGTAGTTCATTTGCTCAGAGTTCATTACAAACGGGTTCACAATAGAAAGTGTTGATTGTCCTGGCTTCACTAATAGTTTTCCTATATAATTAACCAATGCTATTAAGTAAATAACTAACTGTTAAGTCAGTTTAAATGATTAAAAGTATGCTTATAAAATTTTTCCTGATCGATATTCATTTTTAAATCATTCAATTAGGATCATCTCTTCGGCCATACTTTCAATGTCTTGATTTTGGTTTATACTTCTGTTTCGGCACTGTCAAAGAAGGTCTGTTCTAAAACATTAACACCTATTTAATAAAACAATGTTTATAATATTGATCACAATGTTGATTGCTGCTAATCGACACCTAAGGGCATACCTAACTTTATCATTAAGATTCTTTAAAATGAGTGTTATAAGTCATGTTCAAAACTAGCCAGAAGATAAATTTTATATATCTTTGTGTAATACTAGCTTTATTTTTGTATAAAAATGTATTTATTTAAGCAAAAAATAGTACAAAAATTGACAATTTTGTTCATTTTATATGAAATTGATTTTTTTTATATGATGTAGATCATTTTAAAATCTATATTAAAATCACTTCCCATGATAATCACATGACAAATCATGCAACTGTAATGTTATTTTGTACACAAAATGATTGCTTTCTCTTGTTGACCTGATTAGATTTTCATAATTTCTTATTTTCAAATACGATGTTTTATATTCTATTTTGCTGTTAAATCTTCATGATGCCACTACTGAGAATTTTTATAATTGGACCTGAATTAAAAACCCTAAATGATTATTTATTATTGCAATTGCTACATGTCAACCACGCGATGCATCTATTAAACCAAACCTCAAATCTAATAATTTTTTCAAGTTCTCTAAATAAAATGAGACAATTGAATTTATATGTCCTCAAAAAAAGAGGGTTTATAAGGGGTCGCTTCATAAAGATGGATCAATTTTTTTTTAATAAAAAACAAGCAACTCTCTGATATAAGAAAGTCAAGACAAAATCAGACTATAATAAAATCCACTTGGCATAAGAAAGTTATTAATAAGCTCTTGATATAACGATAAGAAAAGTTTGGTAAAATTTTCTTAATTTGAGATTCATTTGTAATATAATGATAAATTCTAAATTTAAAAATATGTGGTCTTTTTTAGAAAAATCTAGAATACTATCGGTAGATATTAGTTGATTATCAATTTAAACTTAGATTCAAAGATAAGTGAGTTATATAAGCAGAGGCTATAGTGCAATTGGTTTTAAATTTTTATAAAAAATAACTTTATAAAAAAATTTACTATTTCTTTAAAAATTTATAAAATATAAAATTAATCAACATTATTATAGAAGAAAGAAGATCTTTTCATTATAGACTTTAAGTAGTTAGACAAGCAGCTTACTTTTGTTTGAAGTAATGTAACAGGTTGCACTTAGTTATTATAAATATTTATATATTTGTAAATACAGTATAATTTTAAAATCTTAATAAAGTACTAGTATGACTGTTTAAAAGAAAAAAAAATCTATAAGTTTTGTTTTTTTTATTTTAAAAAACAAAACTTGTGATTTAGATTTTAATTTAAAATCAAACTATTAAAATAATTTTTTTTTTTTTATTTTATTTATTTTATTTTTTATTTTTTTTAAATGTTAAGATGAGTATATGTAACTTAGGATTTTACTGATAGTATAAGTTAGCCAGCACCTGTATATGTACAGACACAAAAGCAATTACAAAAAGAGTGTACAACTAGCTACTCGTACAACTTTAGTTATTGTCTAATTTAAGTAGTCTGCCTGAAGGTTCTATACTAGTTGCTATACCTATAATCCACCTATAGATCCTCTATTTAAACACTCTGATCCTGCATTCACCACACTCTACTAGCGACTCTGATAAACCAATAAAGATATGCCATGGTCACTAAGTCATATTTAACTTTGTACTAAACCTACCAGTGCATTCTGTATTCCATACTTACAGCTCACTCAGTTACGCTTTGGCCTAAACCATCATTTGCAATTAGGGCTAATTATTAAACTACTTTTATTCTTGTAAAGTTTACCCAAAACTCCGGTACCCATCTTTCCAACATCCTCTTCATTGTTCCCTACTAACTGCTACTTAGAACTGACAGGACTCTCCAGACTTTCAATCCAGATGGCCTGGTATAGTATATTTTAGTATTCTTTTTCTTTGGCAATTCTAGCAGCCTGGTTGGTCATATGCTCCTCTACACATCTTGCTATCTGGTTTAGCTGCCTATCCCTTTGAGGATGTTTCATAGACTTCTATCAGTTCAAAAGTATCGTCAAAAGTTTTGTGCTACCTCCTTACTCAGGATTTTCAAGTGGGTTTCTGACTCTTCAGTTTCTTTGCTTTCTGTGCCTGGTAGTCTTATCATGGGTTTGCACTGAAGTCTTATGCAACACTGGTTATTAATATTCCTCTATCTGAGTGTAACATTACATTTAGCATAGATGCTCTGAGCTTCTATTCGAGATAATGCAACAAAGGTTACAGATACATCAATCCAACCAATTAACAGAGACAGTTACTGTAACACAGACCTATTTTTCAAAATTCATCATCCATGGGATTTGAACTCTAGACCTGCCACTTGGGGGTTGACAACCTGACCACTTTACTAGGTCATCATACCTTCCAAATTATTAAAATAATAATTTTTTAAAAATCAACAATTTATTACAAAATTGAAAGAATGGTGATCTTAGTGTAGTGATTGGGTTGTTATCCTCTAAGTGGCTGTCTAAGATTCAAATCCTACCTATAACGAAATTTAGTAATTAACTTATATTATGATAAATTGTCTTTTGTTAATCAGTTAGATTTAGGTATTTGTAATTTTAGATACAACAAATTAGGTTCTATTCATTATTAAGAGCTCAGAGCATCTATGCAAAGTGTAATGTTATATGTACATAAAAGAATATTAATAACCAGTATTGCATAAGACTTTGGTGCAAACTCATGATAAAACTACCAAATGTAGAAGACCAAAAAACTAAAAAGATGAAAGCTCACTTGGAAATTCTAGAGTAAAAAGATAGCATAAGCCTTTAATAATGCTATTGGACTAATGAAAGCCCAAGAAACCCCAATAAGAAATAGGCAAATGTAACCAGATGAAAAGATATATAAAGAAACATATGACCAATCAGGTTACCAGAATCACTAAAAAAAAAGGATACTAAGATATACTATACCAGACTATTTAAATTAAGAGTCTGATAAGTCTGTCAGATTTTAAGTTGAATAGTAGAAGAATGAAGAGAAGAAGTTAGAAAGATAAGTACTGAGATTTGGGTGAACTTTACAAAAATAGAAATAATATAACATAGTAGTTAAACAGGTAACCCCTGTAACTGCAAGCATTAGATAACTATAACATATTACATAAAACTAGGTCAGCTATATATAAGACACAAAAGGCTCTAATAATGATGCTTCTGAAGATATACTGTATAAAATAAGGTATAGAGTTCTAAGAGTAATAGATAAAAGTATTTAGATCTTTTTAACTAATATCTATATTAAAGATAATCTAGTGATATAGTAAAGATTGCAGTACAGAGAGTTTAAATAGGCAATGTGCCTAGTTGGATTGCAAGTATAGTAGCTA